ACCACAGTCTGAGTCTCCATCCTCAAGTAGGAACAGACAAAAAGGAAAGGACTTCCAAGAAGAAAGTATAGCATGTACAAAGGGAGAGAAGTGGGAATATTCATGGGGATTCTAGGAACCGCATAGAGTATGGGGGTAAATACTGAGGGTCTAGGGAGGTTACTATGGGAGGACAAGTGCTAAAACTGAAATATCCATCAATGTGTATGTCTTTTAAAAGATGTCCCTCTGTAGGCAAATTGTGATTAAAGATGTTTGACTAGGCTCACAATAGAACAAGGCTACTACTTTGAAATCAGTAGTCTTCTAAGAGATTTTGGAAGAGAAGGTATGGAAAGTTGACTTATGAAAGGGAGACATGAAGAATGTTTCATGGAAAGACCCAATGAGAATGAAAAAGTGGAGGCAGATGGGTAGAGAGAGGGAGATTTAGGAAGATTTAGCTGGAGAGACACACATGGTCTTAGCAATAGGCAGGTGATAGAAATTTGAAGCATCTGAGAGGATCCAGTTTTAGGCTTACAAATGGGGTGAAAGGAAGTTGCTTTCTTCAGGATGTGCTTGTCTTGATTCTCCCTCTCTCTGCTCCCTTGAAATCTATCTTGGTGTAAAATATTTTCCACAGAAAGCCAGAAAGTCCCTAAGAAAGAACTGAAATGTGATCTGGGTTTAATAACCTATTAAGTAGAGAATGCTGCTCAGTACCTGTAGGGTTCTTTCCTTGTTTCTGTATTGAAAAAAAATGCTTCCTAGTTAGTAATCAACTAGATGGAGTGAGGCATACTTGGAGGAAATGCACCCAACAACATAATATACGATCGATCTGTTCTTTCCTCATGATACTTCTCAAACAAACCTAGTCTTCTTAATTAATTAGTTAATTAATTAAGACAGGGTCTCCTATAACTCAGGCTGGTTTTGGACTTTTGATCCTCTTGCCTTTACACCTCCACAGTGCTGGGATTATAGATATGGGCCACCACACCTGGTTTATGCAGTTCTGGGCGTTGAATCCAGGACTTCATGCATGCTAAGAAAGCACTGTACTATCAGAACTATACCCCTAGCAAGTCTTCTCTTTAAGAGATACCAAGAAAAGTCAGACACTATAAAAATAAGAATAGAAACAAAGATGAGTATGTACTGAAAGAGTAAAAATTATCAAAATGTTAGAAATAGTCATAAAAGAATACAGTTACCTAGACAACATAAATGGAGCACTAGCACATAGCCCAGGTCAGTATTAACAAGATTTTGTATGGGATGATCTAGGGAACTTCCTCTTCAAAGTGAGAAAGATTAACTGTAGTTATTTCATTCAAATAAATAGTAGTTGCATTAGAAGCTTGTTAATTGATTATTAACTACTAATTGGGGAAGAAATAATAGTTTTTTGTGTGTTTTAGCAACAATTTAAAAGTATTTCTTATAGTTCAGTGTAAATAAATAAGATATAATTTCTTTATCAAAAGGACATCTGCACCAGTGTATTGGAGCTGTGCTTCTTTCCCTCATGGAAGTTATGTAGGCACAGATATTCACTTCTAATTAATATTGCTGGCTCTAGAGTCAGACAAGTGCTTTTGGCTAACATTCGAGTAGGCAGAATGTAGTATGGTCCTTACTGTTTTGTGTCTCTAGTTCTATTCTGAAAATTTTGAGTGAGTGCATAAATAATAGTAATAACCAGTTCATAAGAAGTAAATCTGAACTTTCATTTGACTTATGCCCATAAGCTTCTGGGGTAAGGCACAGTCTCCCTCATTATAAAAAATCATTCCCGTGAAAGCATGGAAAACACTGTCCCAAGTTCTCATTCAGCAAGAACACTGGGAAATACTAACCCAGTACCATGACTCATCGTGCACACTGGGAAGGAAAGGTTCACCATAACCTGACAAGCAGACATGACCACCTAGTACAGCTGGGACTCAGCAAACGACACACTTCTGAATATTCCATTGTTTTTGTCCTCAAAGTCCCTTCCCAGGTATTCAGAATCACTACAATTTTCTACCTAATGTACCATGATGCTAATTGAGGAAATGGTTAAGATAGGCCTCCTTTGCTCTTTGACTTGTTGGGTGCATTATAGGAAGAAACTGTCTTGAGTTGTTGATAAATGATTAACAAGCCACAGGGATCAGCCTTCAAAAAACAAAACAAAAAACAACAACAAAAAAAAACAGGAAAATCGGAAACAAAGTCACTACTGAAACATGATTCTGAGTTCTGAGGAAATCCAAGTTCAAAACAAGTCCCTAAGCCTTTGTGGCATTAAATATCTCTGGACATGGATCCTTCAAATGTGAAATGAGAATGTTAGCGGATCAGCAATCTTTTGTTAGTTTCTTAGAAGGTTAAATAAGATGATTCAGGCAAAGCAGTTGGCAGAATGCCTGGAAGACAGGAGCTTGGTAAAAAAAAAATCCTTTCTCCTTCTCTTTTAACATTACACAAGAATTCTCTTAGGGCCTTTCTTTGTTAATGACATATTTTTATTTTGTTTTGTTTTCTCTCTTTTTTTTTTTTGACTGAAGATGGAATTAACATAGGAGGTAAGGCCAGTCTATAAAAGTAACTCAGGAGCCTATGAAAATATCAGCCAAAATATCATTGCTTGTCAGTTCTACATCATGGAGAATTATTGTATTTTTATTGTGTTTTTTTGTTTTGTTTGAATTCTTCAGTTAACTTATTGCCAGGGCCCTAATAGCACAGGGCTCCTCAGTTTGGTAACCTCGTTAACAGTAAATTGATTTGCATTCTTGTCAAAGTGAGCCTCTATCGAATTTTATACCTTCTTTCCTGCTTTCATTGTAAGCGAGAGTTAAGCTAATATTTGTTATGTTTAGTTAGTAGTTGCTTAAATGATAAAACATATATTAAAAGTAGCCAGAGTAGCCAGATCCTGTTATTGTGGTAGGAAAAAAATCTCATTAATATTAATTGAAATTTAACAAATGATTTGATTAGAAGGAACAATTCCTAAGTGCAACTCGATACTGGACTTCTGGTTTGTATTTAATGTACCTGAGTGAAAGTATAGACCTAATAAAGTTTTATCATAGTGTGCTTGGGAAATAAAAATATCAATGGGTGTATTTCTTAGCAATAATACACTTTCCCGTTTGTGGCTCATATGCTCACACTGCTTCTTATTTATGCATTTGTTTTCTTTCTCAGTGAGCTTGTATTTATTTTCCCGAAAAATTATGAATGATAATTAGAGTGTGATGCATTTATATGTCAAAGGAGCAGCATAGATAATATGTAGTCATGTCATAAATTGTCTTGACTAACTTAATTTCCTGTGTTCTCTGACATAAGAAAGGACCCATGCTGAGACTGCCTCAGAAATATTAAAATATGGCAGACATCCATGCATGAATCCAGATGTGCTCCTGAGAGGATTCTGCCACATCCAGAGATCCCTAAGATAAGGGGGCTCAAAAAGAGGTTACCAAGCATACAAAATAGAATAATAGATCCTCACAGGAGGGGAAGGAACTAGATTTCAGGCCTGTGTATGTGACTCCATTATGTTTTCTGGTTTGTCCAAGAGTCACACAGCTGACTAGTCTCATGGGTAAGAACCAAGCCTAGAAAATTGCAGTACAGCAGGCCTGTGTATGTGACTCCATTATGTTTTCTGGTTTGTCCGAGTCACAGCTGACTAGTCTCATGGGTAAGAACCAAGCCTAGAAAATTGCAGTACAATGATTACATCTGGCAGAAGATAGCCCAAAGCTATGAAGCAGGTCCGGTCCATGTCCTTTGCTAGTTTTGTAGGTAGAGAGGAGACCTTGGCTGAACACAAAAAAATTATTACCTCACATGAATCTCTTTCAGAGACTCCAGGTAGATGGCAATGATTTCTGAGGGACACTAAGTGCTCAACATAGAATAATTGCTGATTCTACTGTGTTGATTCTTTTTAGATAAGAGCATCAGCCAGGTTCTCTTCCACTGAGAAGGAATTGCACATCAAAGGATGGTGGGAATTGCCCCAGCTATGCAGGAACACACTTGAAGGGTCTTGCTTACTACTTGATGGGATTTTTCTCATTTAATCCTCACAAGTCTGGTACAATCCCAACAGAAGCACAGGGAGGTTGTGTAAGTTGTCCAGGTCACACAGCTTGAAAGTGCCGAATCTGGCACCTCAAACAGGAAGCCTGTCTCTAGCAGCTGTTCTCTTACCATCATGTAACACTTGTGGCTGGCACAGAGAAGACCTAGAAGACTAGGTGTGTGCTAGTTCAGATTGTTTCACCAAGAGACAGAAAATTCATGGAATTTACTATTCTGGATTTAATAGACTGACTACATTTAAAAACTAAATGAAAAATATTCATAAGCATGCCAAAATAAGTCCACCGAAATTGGAAATTATTAAAGAGTGGTGCCATAATTTATTACATTTTCTGATTAACCTGGAAATGACCTTATGCTTTCAATGCCTCCTTATTCTAGGAGGAAATCAAATTTCCTGAAAATTCTGTGACACTGAGCCACAATGCTGACAGTTAACTAGGATTCTCTGGACCCTGAGCTCCCAGTTGTTCCCCTCAGCATTGTCCAACCAAGAGCCCACAGGCCACATGTGTCCTAGGATGGCTGTGAATGCAGCCCTACACATTTGTGGTTGACAACAACATGGCACAATGTGGAAAGGCTGGACATCCTCCAGACCATTCATAGAGAAACACATTACTGTGTATTCTCAAGAGAGGGAATGCTCCCTGCAGGTTAGTAACTTGAAAGATCAGATCTGAAGGGGTGTGTATCTTTTGTTCTTCCTCTCATCCAGTTGACAGATGTAGAACAATTCTCACTGATTATTATGTTTAATTATTCCAGTTAATCATACTGAGAAGCAAACAATGCTAACCATTAACAATGAGGAAAAGAAAAAACAACATATATCTGTCCAGACTTCAAGCACAAAGTATCTCCATTCATTTAGCTCTGAACTAGGCAGTTAGACAGCAGTAATGAAGGATAAGGAAATGTGCCAGTCTGTGCTCCAGGTTCTCCTACCTTGGTGCGGAGAATGAGAGGTAGTGGCAGCAAAACCAACACAGTGACAACCACAAGGAGAAAGCGGCGATAAACCAGAGCATAACTGAGGAGTTTCATTGTCCTGAGCAGGTAGGTGCCTTCAAAAGTGGCCTCCTCAAACTTAGGCAGATGTTAAATAACCAGCCCGGATTAATATTTTTCTAACTCATCATCTTGACTTGCTGCCTGAGACAGACCAATGTTAGTTAAAATTAAATCTCACTTTTTTTATTGTTTTACTATCACAACTAAAACAGAGATAAGCCCAAGAGTGTTTGCTAGAAATCAAAGACCATTTGCTCATGTGGATTGTGAAAAGCAAAACTGCTCTTTTCCTTCTTTCTTTCTTTACAGTAACTGGAATATGGATTGCCTGGAGAGCCCGGGAGAGGACAGAAGACGAAATCGTGAAGTTAGCTGAATTTGCCCACACTGAATCTCCTGCCCCTGACTTCCCCTAGCTGGAGTAGCCACGATTGTTTTGGTACTATGAGTATTTCTCCATAGACAATATTCAGAGTCCTGTCTAAGGAAGTCTATTTTCTTTTTTTTTTTTCAATCTTTTTTAAAAATTTATTCATTTTTATTTTATGTGTATGCGTGTATTGCCTGCATGTAGGTAAGTGCACCCGTGTCGTGCAATGCCCGTGGAGGTCAGAAGAGGCTGTTGGATCCCCTGGGACTGGAGTTATGGACAGTTGTTAGCTGCCATGTGGGTTCTGGGATTTGAACCCAGGTCTTCTGCAAGAACAGCCAGTGTTCTTAACTGCTGAGCCATCTCTCCAGCCCCTAGGAAGTCTATTTTCGATGTCAATCCTGAAATTGCACTCTGGAAGCAGGGAATTTAGTTCAGGGTGATGGGTGAAAGAAAGGGTTTTTGGTGCTGATGACTTTTCCTGTGGCTTCTTAGATCCTATACTGAACTGATATTCTGCAAAAATGGATAGTAAATTTTCCCTGTGCTTTGAAAGCAAAGTACTATGTGTCTCATAGATCCTGTGGCCTGTGTTGGTAGAAAACAAAAAATAAAGCCTGATGTAGTAGTAATAAGTCTTCTCCATTAAGATATCAGCTTGAATTGATACTATTGTCCTGATATTGACCACATAACGATTAACAGAGCTGCCAAAGTTAAATGGCCAGGGTCATTTAAGGGGTATGTGCTCATGGAAGTGTGTGTGTGTGTGTGTGTGTGTGTGTGTGAAGGTGTGTGTGAAAGTGTACACATGCATGTAGGAGCACATGAATATCTGTAAACCTGAAAACTGTTCCAGCAGTGGCATAGAAGGTATGGCTAGAGGCTGTATGGTTGGTTTCTTGTTGTATTGTGATTTAATTATCCAGAAAAGCTCAGCTAAGCAACTTTGCAGTCAGTTCCACGTATAAACAAATCAGCTCCCCAGCTCTCCTGTAATTTACTGTGAATTATTGACAATTATTGTCAGTCTCTTGATACAAGTTTCACACATATAATGTGTGGTTACCATTTAGGCTTTATCTCTAATTCCGCACTAATGTCATTTTGCTTCCTTTTCCTGCCAACAGGGGGAAAATTCCTTTCAACAGTCACTATATTGATGTAAATAAGAAAGCACTTTTTCTTCTAAAAATGTAAATTTCAAGACAAATTACATGTAATGATTTAGGAAAATCAGAGTAATAAACAGAAGAAAAAAAAGTTTCCAAATTAGAAAGGCAAATATCATAAATTTTACAGATTAAAGAGAGCGTGATTGGCAGATGAATAATAGTAGTAATAATAGTGAATACAGCAAAGTACAAAATAAGCAGTATTCAAAACAGATTAAGGGAGCCGAGGTGCTCAGAATCATGGTGCTTATTTTTTCCCTATTGACACTCTGAATAGTTCATTGCATGCTTTTTCTTTTTTCCCATTTTTTGAAGGAAACATTTCTGGTCTCAGATTTTCTTAGGCCACCTGGTGAGACCATTTGAACTTCACTTTCTCATCTTAAAGGATTTTACTTGGAGATGACACAAAAAATGCAAAGGCACGTGGCCTCTTGACTCTTCTGGCGATCACTGCTCATGAAAGGAAGGTTTCAAACCCCCATTCTATACCCGGAGCTACAGCAGGCCAGTCTTTTGTGGTGTCCATACATCGTTTCAACCATAATTACAAAATGGCCCACTTTGTCCTTACTGTGGCTGAACGGACATTCTGTATTCAGCAGTGGTATTCTCTGGCTCACAGAGAGAAGAGATCTGACAAAAGAACTCACATTAAACACAAATGATTAATACTAGATGAATATCACTCAGGAGTCACCAGGGAATGAAACACCAGCGATTTTGGGGCTTCTAGAAAACATATCTCAAGGCACCCTTCAAATTACATCACTGTGTTTAGCCAGTTGCAGGCCAAAGACAAATTGGCTCCATGTGTCAAACTGTGCCTCCTTTTTATACCAAAACATAAAATAGGCTACTTTTAACTTATTATAGTTATGCTGTATTTCATCTAAATTGAACTGTAGCATTGTGTGACCATTAGTCAGTTTAAAAAATACTCTGTTCGGCTGGGCATGGTGGTGCACGCCTGTAGTCCCAGCACTTAGTGGGGGGGCGGGGGGCAGAGGCAGGGGGAGCTCTGTGAGTTCAAGGCCAGCCTGGTCTACATAGTGAGTTCCAGGACAGCTGGGGCTACAGGGAGACCTTGCTTCAAAAAGACAGAAAAAAAAACAACAAACCTCTGTTCAAGCATAAAAACTTACAAATATTGTATATTTGTACACTATTATCTACTACGCACCAGAGATTTTACAATCGCAGCTTCGTAGAAGCTTTAAAACCCAATGCTAGCCATATTTGTAATTACAGCTACTCAGGAACCTGAGGCAGGAAAACTGCAAAGTCAAGCACAGCCGGGACTACATAGCGAGTTCAAGATGACATGAGAGCCTCGCTCAATATTTAAAAGGTAAAAAAATGTGGAGAATATAGCTCAGTGCTGGAGCCCTTGCCTTGCAAGTGTGAAACTCCAGGTATAACACCAAGTACCATACACACACAAAGGGCCCCCGTTCCTCCGACGGGCGGGGCCTGCTCCAGAGAATTGACTGCTAGAGTTACCCGGAGGGAGGGGCTTTGGGTGTCAAAGGAGGCGGCTGGGCACGGGAGAAAAAGGATGGTCCCGGTGTCCCGGTGTCGTACCTGGGTGGATGAGAGAGGGGCCATTTACCGACCTGGGGTGAGACTGCAGGCCCAGGAGGTGCCGGCAAAAGCTAACGGTGAGTGGAAGAGATCTGGGCGGCCCGGTTGCTGAGCCACAGAGGAGAACGCGGAGCTGGGTGTCCACCTTTTGTGAAACACTGGGTGTTCGCCTTTGTAAGTTACTCCATTTCCCCCCACCCAAGATACAAAATGAAAAACTTGGACAAAGTATGTCATACGGTTTGTCTAATAGCTCCCAGAGCAAGAGACCCTGAAGACAGTGAGGGCAGGTCAAACAGAGAGTAGGAAGGAGAAAATTTAGTGGGTCAACAACCTATGTACA